CATCGGAGGCAGTGACGAGTTCAGTGTTTTACCCAGGGACACTTCAGCATGTGACTGCTGGTGGATTCAAACCTCTACCTCATGCATTGGAAGACGACTGCTCTAACCACTCAGCCACCACAAAATGATGGCGATCATTCGCAAAACAGGCTGCGATGTCATTGTTTCTCAAAAGATCTGAATCTAGACTCTCATCACAAACAAAGCTTTTGCTACTTTCTACTTTGCAAAGCATTTTTTAAAAATCCAATTTTTCACCCCTAAAAACTGTGGACAAAAGGTACAAATGCAACACACTTCAACAATCCAGATTGTAAATATGCATTTAGTAATTATCCCAATTCTGTCCATTATTATGCTCATTAAGGTCTACTGTACATCCAAGGCAAGAAATCTTTACACTCAAACTTAATTTCATAAAGACTAAGAGTGTAAGATGGTAAACAATAGCCACTTTGCCACTGATAAGTGCAACTCTTATCGGTTCTTCTCAGGTGTAGGTGATTTGCCACTGTGGCTTGTTTCCCCACTCTGTGATTGAGATCATCGATGCAAAGCGAGTGGTATAGTAACAGGTCATTGTGTTCTAGCCACTCCACCCGTTTTGGTCCTTAATCGCCCTATAATCAGCAAAGCGCCAAATGTGCCCGGGTTGGTGCTTTCCAAAACGTTCTGCCATTTAATCATAAATATCCTAAATAACGGGGTTCAGTTCTGTAGTAGATCTGCCAAAATATAACCGTCGTTTTTCAAGTTGTTTCCTTTTGCTGTAATATTCAAGAAGCATATGACCGGATTTAACAAGTTAACTTATTCAACGCGAAGCTTCTAACTGAGTGGAATCGTTCCCAAATTCATGGTAAACATTGAATGTCTGGTCACGTATTAGTTTTATCTGCGAGCCAGGAGAGTTCATTGACAAGTTGAGTGATCATTGGTAACAATGAGAAAAGGCTGATTGGGCCATGCTTTAGACATCCTGTAATGGAAACAGCGTACCTCACAAAGGGAATTGTCCAGTCTGTGCTGACAGACAGGAACTTTACTGTATCTTTGGCAAGTCTGACACCATGCACCAAGGGGGGTCTTATTGACAGCTAGAGCTTTTGTCTTCCCCCTGGCATCCCAAGCTTGAGTTGACACACGTATAGATGATGAATTCCACTGTCATAAAGGCAATCAGGACAAACGACGAAGGCGAACAACTGGCACTGAAAGCTGTGACAAAGCGGTGTAGCGACACTCGGAGTTCCTTTCTGCAGAATCAGCAAAGACTGATAATGTTCCCTCATGAGATATCTTGTTAGTTTAGCAGAAAGTCGTCATTCATAAGCGTGTCAAATATAAGATGTTTGAGCCTAAAAGAGTTTAGTTCTGACAGAAAGTTACAAGTGGAGACTCAATGGAGATTTGTTCATTAACGAATGTAACTTGGACTTCAGTCAAATTACCACTAACCTACCAGAATCTGCCTCTTTGATGCAAAATTCCCTCCAAAACATGTTCACTTGTGTCTGATGGATATTTTCTTTCTGGTACCTCTGCCCTCACTTTGAACACATTCGACAAGCAGGTCTTTGAGGCTTAATATCGCTGATCAAACAGTCCTGCTTGGTGTCAGTTTATGGTAGACAGCTAGGTTACTCATGAGTGGGCGCTGACGCACTCGGGAATGTGTTTAGCTAGGAAATCAACACACGCACTGCAGTACATACCACGGCCCTGTTTTGCAATAGCGGACACATACTCGTATATTTGCATGTTCGCGCATAAATGAGCTGCGGAGTGAAAAGATACTCTTGCACGCAAGTGTTTGGTTGACTTTTCCTTTTTGTGTGAAGGGATAAGTGTGTGAAGAAGCTGTGAAAAGGTGAGGACGAGATATTTTTTACCATCTTGAATGAAACATTCAAGCTGAATGGAGCATGCACCGGAGCAACTTGTCTACGTCACTTACCCAAAACGTAGCGCAGCGTAAATAAAACGGTTTAATCAGTGTCATTCATTTTTAACCTGCAAAGTTTTTATGGGCTCGTTTTTATTTTTTTACTGAAATTATTATTTGTCAAATAATGTCTATTGTTCCAAATAATTAGAGATCCCTTTGAATTCTGCTTGAAAGGCTTTATATAAATATACATTCCTCAATGAATACTAGGCCTGTTTACAGTAGAAACTTTGGCCCATTGGATACTCATTTTAGTGTCACAGCTTCTAAAAGGGTGTTAAAAATCATCCAGCTCATCAGAGTCAGACAAAAGATCTCAGCCTAAGTACTGTCATTAGCTGAAGCCTTAGCCTCTTATTTGTCTTCCTGAACTTAAATACCCTCTATGATCTGTCCAGCAAAGACTTAATAGATGCTATTTAGGCTCTTTAAGTACCTGAACGCACATTTGAGTGGTAGTGGTGTTGATTTGGTGGGTGCAGGTAGAACCTTTTGAGCGAGTGATCCCACTGAGCGTGTCTTATCAGCAGGAGCAACATTTGTAACACGAGGACATAACTTAGCCATGCACCGCCAGTCACACTGAATGTAAAGTATTCATGTCTCAAAAGGATTACGCACCCTGCGCTCTGACTTTGAGAGGTATCAGCGTTGCACTCAGGGTGACCGAAGTTCAACAAGAGACCTTCAGGGTCTTTCCTCTTTTAAAGACTTCTCTTGATGATGGATATGAGTGGATAGTGATTCTATCCCCACCAAGAGTCTCGAGGTAAAGATTTTCCCTGTTCCCTCGTAAACATAAACATTTACATTCTTGTGTTCGGTGTTAAAAAATATCAAGTTGAATTGAAGCGTAAGTGTCAGGTAACTCATACCATGCATACCTTTCTCTGGCTCTCAGTGGGCATTTCTTTGAGCCTGGCTGAGGACTGATGGCAGTTTTCTACATCCATTGTTATTACAGCGGTCCTGGTCAGCTTCAGTGCTGACAAGTCGTAATGCAGCAGAAGTGTAGGAGAAGCTTCAAAGAGCCCGGCATTTCTCAGTTTAAAGGAGGACTGGGATCAAACGGATCCAAAAAATCAGCCATCAGCTAAAAACAAGTATGACGGTATTCTGCATTAAATTGAAATAAACAGCAATATATTTTATAAAAGCCATAGGTCTTCTCGCATAAAACCCTAAATATTGGTTGATTTGATCTTGTGGCAGTAAAGAGTACGATCACCTCATCCTTTTTTAGCTGATCTCACTTCAAAAGCAGTCAGCCTGTGGTTCTGATATTCTTCTGGATCTAGAACGATAACAGAGTTTGCAGCATTGAACAGTCAAGTCAAAGAACTAATTGGTTTCGTGCTCGGGACCACATCTAAAGCAGCATAAAATCAGGCTGTGAAAAAGCTAAATGTTGTAAAAGGCTAGCTAAAAGATAAAAGTACTGAATTATTAATTTATTTTTCATCTTTCTGCTGCTCCCTCAGGGGTCACCACAGCGAACCAAGTTGCTTTGGACTTTGCAATTATTTTTACGCTGGGTGCCCTTCCTGAGGCAACCACAGACCACCGAGCTACCACAGCCCTCTGTGTGGAGCAGAGAGCTGCATCTAGGGCGCCCGGGTGAGCAGATGGTGGGGGTTAAGGGCCTTGCTCAAGGGCCCAGAGTAGGGGCAAATGAGGGTGGAGGCAGGTGTGGATGCTTCACCTTTTCCACCTACATTTTGATGTTGTCAATCCTGGCGGTTGAACCGGCTAACCTTCTCTAACCTCGGTGTACCAAAAATGGTGGGGAAAAAGAGTAAAATAATAGCTAAAAGCTAAATGTTGTATAAAGTTAGATTGAAGCTAAAAGTACAAAAGGCTAGGTAAAATAAGCTGAAGTCTAAATAAAAGGACCAAAACACTAGGTAAAATACCAAACTGCTAGCTAAAACTTCAATGTAGCCAAAAGCTAGCTAAATGCTAAATATAGCAAACAGCTAGCTAGAAGCTAAAAGTATCGAAAGGATAGGAAAAAGTAGCCAAAAACTAATGTATCATGAGGCTACTAAAAAGTAAAGGTTGTTAAAAGCTAACTAGAAGCTAAAAGTACCAAAAGGCTAGGTAAAAGAACCTTGTAGCTATCTACAAGCTAAATGCAGTAAAAGGCTAGTTAAATGCTAATTGGTGCAAAAGGCTAGGTTAAAGTGGCAAATGACTTTCTATAAACAAAATGTAGCAAAAACCCAAGAGTAGCAAAATGGGTAAAATTAGCTAAATGCAACCTGACACAAAATTTTACAAAAGGCCAGCTAAAAGTACCAAAAGACCTTGAAAACCTCGTTCTCAGAAGTGGCATCTCACAGCTCAATGTCTGGACAGGACCGCCTCCCTCCATCTGCACCACCTGTCCAGTTAATGTTATTTTAATTTTAGAAAGTTGGCAACCCTAGTTATGCTCCTTTAGGTACTCCCCTGCTCTTTTTAGCTCCTGCTCGACGCGTTTTAACTTTAGCAGCTCAGTTTTATCGTCTTTCTGCAGTCATTCTGCACTCGGCATTCACACTGCATGTTCCGTAGTTGGGATAAGCTTTTAAAGGACCTGAGCACAGACTGATATTGTTTGTAGCTTTAAGGCCTTATAGAAAGTCTTTGCTGTAACTTTAGTGTAAAACAGTCGGGCTATAAGCTCTGTTGTGACTAGCCTCTGCTCCTTTAACTCCAGTAAAAACAAACAGTCCTGGGCGCAGACATGAAGCCTGCTTCAAGTGGGGAGAGGAGTTCTTTGTGTGGATGCTCGTATCAGTCATCCATTAAAGATGAGCTTGAACCATGATGACATGCATTAAGTAAAGACAGAGGGGAGAAGAAGAAAAAAGCATCAGTTTTCCAGCTTGCACGCCTCTTCTCTGAGCGTGTTGCTTTAAGAATGAAAGGTGGGTGAGCCCCTCTTCCTGACACACTCCTGGTATGCAAACATAAATTTAGCAGCGACGTGTTTCATCTGGAAGCGACCGAGAAGTGTCGTGTCGTCTCTGTCCTCTCTTGGCTGACTTTGATTTATCCCCACAACCACCGTCACCACTCCTCAGTCTGGGAACCGGAGGAGAGAGCGGACCTGTTTCTGTCAGAGCCCCTGACTGGGACAGCAGAGAGAGAGAGAGAGAGAGGGAGACAGTCTTGTCTCTCAACAGATTGAAATTATACAGAGTCTGTTTGTGTCCGAGATGACTTGGAGCTGTTTGTGGACGACTGGGCTGCTTCTCCTCACCGTAAACCCGAAGGTAAAAACGGTTTTCAGCCCAGTTTCAGAGGATTTATGGAGTTTGTGGAAGAAAAAGAGGATCCACCACCTGTTGCTTTCTGTTTGAGAGGAGAAAAATAAATACAACCAGACTTTTGGTTTTATTTTATTAATACATTGCAACTGTTTCTAATCTTTAGTGATGTTCTGCCTGTGAGCCAATTGTATTTTACTGAAACCCTCTGACATAAACATCCAGATTTTACATTAACTTTCTTATTTTTTTAATCGTTTCTGATGAGTTTATTGGCGTTGATCAGTTCCAAAGCAGATCATAGATCAAAGCATTGAAATATTCCAACAATATGACTTAATTTATAGTTGATCTTTTAATGTGGAGTTCTGTGGCAAGGTTATGAACAATTAGTATCTTACCTGTTGTAGATAGCTCTTGGAACAAACTCGGTTTCAAGAAATGTGGTTTAAATCTGACCAAACTGATTAACTAATGGTTAATTGGAGCAGAGTCAAGATCAAAGTGGATTATTATCGTTTTATTTCTTCGGGGCAGCTGTGGTTGAGTGGTTAGAGCAGTCGTCCAATGCAAGTGTTGGGGGTTCAATTCCACAAGCAGGCACATGACAAAGTTTCCCTGGGCAAGACACTGAACTCCTAATTGCCTCTGTGTGTCCCATTGGTGTATGAATGTGATATAGCGCTGATTATTTTTTGTAGAGATATAGGAGAGTGCTGTATGAATGGGTAAACGAGGACGCAGATTGTAGAGTAAAGCGCTTTGAGTATCTTGATAAGCTAGAGAAGCGCTTTATACTCTAAGTACAGTCCATTTACCATTTAAAGATACTACCACATTTACAAAACTCCCCATTTTAATTTCCCATGTAACGTTTTCAGATATTTACTTTTACATTTCCACCTGATTCTTATTCTACGTTTGTCCCATTCCACCATATTTGTTTACCATCACAAATTTCTGCCAGAATTTAGGTCAACCACGTGACTCAAACTTCCATGGGGGTTTTTCCGAGGATTCAGCCAAGTCCTTTGTTTACAATGAGTGCGGACCTGCATTTCATTCCACTAGTGGAATAATTTTTTTTAAATGACAGCACTTGATGTAGATCAGGATAACATTTTTTTTTTATGTTCGATTTAATACTTTCTAAAGAGTACCTTTACAGTAATACACACTTAAACTGGCATCACTTATGTCAGCCAAATTTAAAACGGTAAAGTTAAAAGGTTTAACCTCTGCTGAGGAGTTTGCTGTGGAGACAAGATTTAGGGCCCAAACACGGGCTGCGTGAGTAAATGACCACAACAGGTGCTAATAGCTCTTCAAGGTGAAATGGGATTCAGACTTCTGGCTGTTGCAGTCCAGTTGGACACGTCCATTCTGCAATACGTAGTTGACGAAGAGACGATCGAGGCTTCACAACACTTTTTAAGACACTGCCCAGTGCTACAGCTTTAAGACAGAAAGAAAACATGTTATTGGTATAAATCTGTGCATTGTTGTGCGAATACTGATTCTGCGTTAACATGTTAAATTCCATACGTTTTTCTCCTTAGACCTACATCGAGATGGCTTAAATTCCTACAAAACCTTTGTTCTCTAAAGCTCATTACTCATTACACTTTAATTATGGGCTGAAATTATTAACTGAGAGGAAACTGCAACCTGTGTCATAAGGGGAAAAGAGTTTTAGGATAATCTTTGATCAAGATAAAAATGTATATTTTGTCATTATTTTGATACAATTTAACATTGATGTTCTCACCCCCTAGTGGCTTGGTATGTGTAATACAACATTTTTGTTTGAATGATCCATCCATTCATTATCTTTTACCCGCTTCTTCCATTTTGGGTCACGGGGGTCGCCGGTGCCCATGTCCGGCTATCACAGTGCGAAGGGCGGGGTACACCCTGGATGGGTCGCTGTTTGAATGATGCGCATATAATTTTTGTCAAATTAAGAAAAAAATTAATTAAATATATTGAGTAGTGCAGATGGGAGTCTTAATCCCAAGACCATCTGGTTTCTCAAACCTAGCATCACTAGCTAGAAGCTAAAAGTATCAAAAGTCTTGGTAAAAGTAGAAAATTCAAGCTAAAAGCTGAATGTTGTTATAGGCTAGCCAGAAGTTTAAAGGCTAAATGTTAAGTCTACCTAGAAGCAAAAAGTACCAAAAGGCTAACGTTGTTTTTTCATTCATTCAACCTTTATTTAGACGGCTAAATCCCATTGAGTTGTAAAAGCCTAGTTGGAAGTTAAAAGCACCAAAAGGCTAGGTAAATGTACCAAACTATAGATTTGATCTAATGCACCTCTGATACACTCGTCTTCTCTATACATTTTTATTAATTGTACTTTCATTGAAATTCAAATTAAACGTTTTTCCCCGTATGATCAAATGTAAAACTGGTGAGTGACGTGTTGAACGTCTTTCTTCTCGTCATGGATACAAATCAAGCTTGATCACAGCTTGGTGCTGCCACTTTCACTTCACATTTTTTCCCCCTAATAAATCGGCTGGATTTCAAAGGGAAATTGGCCTTAAAAGCTACAGATTTTAATGTTTATCCAAACGTATGATCCTTCTCAGAGTCTTAATGCAGCGAGTGATGTTAAAGTATGCAGGATTGGGAGGCTTTGTGGTCTAAATGTGGGATTAAGTGGTGTCACGGTCCGCAAATGGTCCCAAGAGAACGTCCGTCGACATCTCTTGTTCTCTGAAACTCCCTCGTCGGCTTGATGACTTGATCATAAAGACCACAAAATATCCAATTAGTTTTTATGAGGGCCTTTGTTGTGAAGGCAAGTGGAATGGGAAGTGAATTAACTTTGAATAGAATTGGTCCCTCTAGAGAAGTAAAGGAAAGTGCTTCTCTGAACATCTGGACAGTGATGGATGAGGCAGGTTTTTGGGGGTGTGTTAACAAGGCTGAGTGCTTTCAGTTACACAGCAAAAGCCCTCGTACTCATCTCATTGTTCCCATCTGGGCTTAATCTGTGGAGCGATATTGAGGATTTCAGTGTTGATGTCTGTGTGCATATGTGCTTGCAATCTTCGAAGTCCAAGCACAAAATTTACTGGCACTCAAATTGCAGTGGGTGTCCACAAGCTGTTTTATGTTTCATGTCGGACTCTCTGGGTTCCTGGCATGGTGGCATTGCTTCTTCTGTGTGCCACTTCGGCATGCCAGCACACTTCTAATTCCAAAAGCAGAAAGCAAGCATGTGTTTCTGTAAAAAAAAACAACTAAAATTAAAAAGCCAAAAGTTTCTTGAAAGTGCTCTCAGTGAAAAGAAAGTCCTGCTGCAGAGAACAGCAAAACTTAATTTGCCTTTCTGCAGTTAAAGTGCATTTGTAGTTGCTTCAAAGTGTTCAAGATGACATTATACAAAACCCTGTTTGAAAAAAAGATTGCCTAATTTTTTAATGTTTCTATATTTCCAAAGATCTAACTATCAATGTTGTTTGCATGTTTTATGGTAAATATAAAATTGTAAAGTTTGTGTTTTAAAAAAAAATAACTGTGATAATTTGCCTTGCTTAAAAATCAATTGATGGTTAGCCTATAGATCAGTTCGTGGTAAGGTGTTGGAGAAAAATACTCTTGCTTACGTTGTTTACCCAGAAAGAAACGCATTCGACGGAAGAACATATTTAACCGGTAATGCACTTGCAAGGTCAGATTTTCAGGACAGATTACATAAATATATGACGTACACACATAAAGACCAGCCACGGGAATCTGCCTTCTCCGCTTGCTTGTATATCCTTATCAGCCTTCTCAGTTCAGCTGAGTTCAGAGTTCAGGAGGAGTCCTCGGCTGCAGCTGCACCATTCTCACCCAGTGCTCTTCATTAACCCAAACATATGGTTCATGGGCAGAGATAAGGTAGTGTCTTGGGAGATGTTTTTCTTGGACTTATTGTTCTTAGCTTTAGTAATAAAACCATTCATAACCTTTGACCAAAAATTATCTGACATAAGGCTAGTTAGACTAAAAAAAATCAGTATGTAGGCATTTTAAGTCATTTGGTAGCTATGTTAAGTCAGTTCGTCACCATCTTAATAATCAGTTGGTGGCTGTATTAAAAGTCAGTTGGTAGTTGTCTTTAAGTCAGTTGGTAGCCAGATCAAGTCAGATGGTAGCCCGATTAAATGTCAGTTTGTAGCCGTCTTAAAAACATGTATAGCTTGTCTTAAGTCAGTTGGTAGCCATCCTAAACAGTGCTTACCCTACCGTTATCCAAGGAGTGTGCCCCACCCTGTCAATAGGACTGAGCGCCCTGCCTAATGGAATGTCCTTAACCTCACCCCGATCCCCATCCCCTCTCCCCGTCGAGAACTTAAAAGTTTTTAAAGTGCTTCTACCATAATTCTGCAGTTAATGGCGCACATACAGACGTGCTAGCTAAAAAGCTACAGACGTTGCGCTCCGCTTTTGTCGCTCATACCCCCCCACTAGGGGTTGAACGAGTATATAATTTTTTAAACTCGACATTAACATAATAAAACCCGAGTAGAACTCGAGTATTTGATGATGTCATAGATCTCAAGATACAAAAATAAATAAATAAATAAAACCGCAAAAAAAGGTAATTATTTACAACAACAAAAAAAGACCAACAAAACATTGGGAGCGTATATCATGCTCCTACCATTTATCATACTGCAAATAAGTCACAGGAAAAACTAAACTATTAGTTATTATTATTAAACTGCAAACGTGAAGAAACATGCAGCACGTCAAAAACGAAACTTAAACCAAAACTGGTTCGGTGGATTGGACCCGGTGTTACACCATACTCTGTGACCTGCAACAGTGCAACACCGCCCCCTACGGTCATACGGTGGTCACATAATATGACGTCACTACGGATACTCGACGTAACATTTTTAACCTCGATAGAGGTCCTAGCAATCGATGTGTAGATTGCTCGAGTACTCTGTTAATGCCCTACCCCCCATCCTGCACGACAACTGCCGACACCAACGTAGCACACA